ATGATACCCCTACACTATCAATGCTTGTATGATGAAGCGCGCTTTGTAAAAGTTTATATTGTCTGTTTTTATGCTTCTGACGCGGGATGTCATTTTGACAGGTGTGAGAGGCGGATCAGACATATGCTATGGAACCGCGCACAGGGTGCGGAAGTGCGGAAGGCAAGTCTGCGGAACGACAGGTTCGGACTGAGCGACGGGTGGGAAGCCGGCAGGACTAACGGGAATGAAAGTTTGCGGAACAACAGAGACGAGAGGTGCGGGCGAAAATTGTGTACCACCCGATTGAGCTTCCGGATACCTTGAGGAACCGGACCTCCGATCCCGTTCCTCAAGACTTCGGCACACAATTGATTCATGGATCCCGCCTGACATGGACCCTCCGTGAATCGAATGACCATGGGAGTCAGGCATTCAACAGCTCGGAGAGCTCCACATGAAAGCACGAAGCGAAGCACAACGCGCCGGAAGGAGACAAGATGAGGGCTGCTCAGCAGCCCCGACAGTATGCTTGGCATTTGAGAGACTGTGAGTGATATGTCGGAGACTGGAACATGCGGAACATGAGAATGCAAACGAACAAGCCCGCGGCAAGCGGAGGGGCATGTGAAGATGAATACGAAGCCGATGCCGAGCAGCACCTGGCTGCGGCATAGTGGGAAAAAGGAGAAGACGAATCAGGCGCCTCGAGTCATGTCTTAGTTGGCGTTGGCGTAGGTACGGAAGAGGGCAGTGGGGTTGTTGCCATTGCTCAATCGCTGGGTCTCGCTGACTCCCTGGAGGTTCTGGATGACGGCAAAAGGAGCCCATCCTTTGACCCAGTCCTGCGAGTTCATGAAAGAAGTGACTTCGTTGGCGAAGGCATTGGTCTTGTCCTTGTCGCACTGCTGGTTCTTCGAGGAGAAGTCCTGGCATGAGAATTCGGTGACCCAGATGTCCTTTCCGAAAGTCTGGTGCCAGTCCTGGAGGTACTGCTTGAAGTCGTCGCTGGAGGTGCCGTAGTAGTGGATGGCGATGGAGTCGAGCTTGTTGAAGGTGTCGGGGCAGGCCTTCTTGAAGTTCTGGTACCAGGTCTTGCCGTCGGGGGCGTTGGTGGTGGAGGGACCCATGAGGTACCAGCCCTTGTTCTTGAGTGGGAGGAGGTACTCCTCGATGAGCTTGCATCCGTCCTGGGGGCTCATGTCGGACTGGCCCTTTTGGTTGACCTCGTTCATGGCCATGGCACACTTGTGCTGGTTGGACTTGGCGTCGAGGTTGTCGAGGACGTTCTTCTTGAACGAGTCGGCGTTCTTCCAGCCCCAGAGCATTGGACAGTACATGAGCTTGTCGACGGGCGCGTTGTCCCAGCCGGGCACCGAGTCCCACGAGTAGAACCAGGAGACGGAGCCAAAGTCAAAGTTGTCGATGGGCATGCCGTCGCGGTTGGCCCAGCACAGACCCATCTTGCCACCCGAGGTGTTGCCGTTGGCCGAGCTGGAGCTCGAGGAAGATGACGAGGACGAGGACGAGTCAGAGTCGGACTTGGACTGCGAGTGCGAGCTGGAAGTGGACTTGGAGCCGGAGGACTTGTAGTTTTGCGCTGCGGCGGCAGCTGGCTTCTTGCTCTTGTGCTTGGCCTGGCCTGATGCCGAGCAGCTCTTGTGAGCCGCACGCTTGTGAGCGTGTCGTCGAACGACATCGGGCACGTCAGGCTGATCCATGGTGGATGCCGAGACCATGGCGGTACTGGCGACGAGCGCGGCGAGCGCGAGCGAGGTGGCGAATGACTTCATCTTGTGCTGAAAGTTAGTGGTTGTGGAGGGTGGGGAGCAAGAGACGATGGTAGCAGCCCAAATGATCAGGGGAGACGTCGAGCTGAGGGTACTGGAGAGGGGAAGGAAAGTGAGTCGCAGGGCGGATCACGGCGACCAAAACAAATGACAGACAGGGAATAAGGTGATGATGCAGAACGCGGAGGTGAAGCGATAGAGAGGTGAACAGAGGAGTCTCTAGATGCCAAGGCCAGCTTGAAGTCTAGGTAAAGAGGGGATGAGCTGTTGGTGTTGGGGGTTGAGAGAGAGGAGGGAGAGGAGATGGAGGCGAGAACGGGAAGGAGCGGCGTGTGGAAGGGAAAGGATATGTACGATTGGTAGGGAGGGGCAAGGGTGCGGGGACGACACGAGGAGCAGGGAGCGGAGCTTTGGGGATCCGCAGCGCAAGGGGCAGAGCAGGGCGACGATCCTTTGCTCAGACACGAGACAGGCATGATCGACAAACAACCGTGGTGCGGATGATCAGCGCAATGCTGGGTCGCACCGCCCATGTGCTCAGCACACACACTGCGGTTGGTTGGCACGGACGGCGCAGCGATCCGCTATGCCACGGCGACTTGGCGCGGTGAAAGTTCGGCCTTCAAGCTTGCGAGAGCGCTCGGTGTGGCACTGCAGCTGTTTTGCTGTACAAGCGAGATCACGATGAGAGCCGACATGTGTGCGCAGACTGGGGCTGCTGCCATCGATTGCAGCGCAGGCACCGTCGTTGAACGCAAGCTTGCGCCGGTGCGCAGGAGCGGGGCGTCCGCGACCCGGCGGCGCACGGCGGGATGCATGGTCAGTGAGAGAGATCTGCGGGCGCAAGGGATGCCGATCGGCGAGTAGCGCTGCTGCTGCTGGCCTTTTTGCAAGAGGCGAGCGAGAGGCGAGCTAGGACATGCAAAGCCTTACAGTGCTCGAGCGGTGCACCTAGAGTACAGTAGCGAGGTGAAAGCTGTCAACGGCCGCCAGCTGGCAGCTGCCAACAGTCGCCTTCCTTTGACAGGTCGGTGCCGCGTCGATCCTCTATTTTTTTTTCTTTTTGGCGAGAGACATGTCGCCGTGCCGAAGCTGCTAACGCAAGACCCTCGAATTGCAGAGATTCGATCCAGCTCCGAGGACCACCTCTTCACATCATGATGCTGAACATGGTCGACGTCATGCCTCACTGCCTGCCTCAAGCTATTTGACAAGTGATACAACACCGAGCGTTGTAGTGTGAGCAGCCTTGGCGGCGGTAAGGCGGCGGGCGGGGCAGAGGCTGACAGGAGGCGCAACGATGCCAGGGCTGCAGCGACCGTGTGGATTTGCGCCGGCCGTTGCAGTGCGTTGCAGTGCCGAAGTTTGCGCTGCAAAAAAAGAAAAATCCGAAGGCCTCGCCAGTGAGATTTCGCTTAGCGACGGCGCGCGTGCTTTTGGGGTGCACCAAGAATGCCACGTACATACGGCATGCCAGCTCGTCCTTCCAGCGCCTCTGAACAGGCAGAGCGTGCAGGCAAGGCGACAGGCCTCACCCTGCCGACATCCTTGGTTTCCAGGCGACTCCCCGTGGATGGTTTCGGACGAGAGGAACAGGCCAAGTGGACCAGCGACGGTGCGCTGATGGTTCTGATGTTAGCTCCTACAGCAGTCCCATTTTCTAGACACGCATTCCCATCGGGAAATCGAACAGCCCGATGAGCAGCAAAACAAGATCGACCTCCAATCCACGTGGTTGAATCCTCGTTTCGCGGGCGATGAAGATCTTCATATCCAGCAGAGACACAGGCTGCGGGAAACTGCGATCGCCGCTGCACCAATGATTCGGCTCAGCGGAGAGCAGAGAGCCGGCTGAGACCAGGGAAGAACACGGGCGACGCTACGGATATGCTATGCGGCGGGGCGTCGTTTGGTGTCGGCCACTGGAAGCACAAGCAGCGGAAGCAATGTTTTTTCTCGTGAGACTGGGCCTGGCTCGTATGTCTGCAGCGGTCAAATCGGGATACGATCGTCGCTGTTCGGACTTGTAATGACACCCAGTCGGCTCATCGTGTCGCAGGCAACCTTTGTGTGTGAGACACGATCACGACACAATAACACGATCACATGTTCGCGGATCAGAGAGCAATTGGGCGCTCGTTTGGAAGCGAGTGAAACGGACACGCAGTGATGGTCGGAGCTTTGCCATGAAAGACCCAATGGGATCCATTTGGTGCCCCGCCAAGTGTCTCGCCCGGACAACGATGCAGAGCCCCTCGCAGCCCAACACGGCTCGACTAGCCGACACTGGCTGTTGCCTTCCTATTCAGGCTGATCGGAAGCGACTGAGACGATGCCGGTGGCGCAAAGGACGTCGAACAGCCTAAGCGTGTCTGTGCCTCTCGGCTTGTGGGGCATAGGTCGGATGTTGCCGGTGGGCTTGTCAGCTACCGGTGAAAGTGGCAGGCGAGGAGGAGGCTAGGCCCCGTCGCTCAGCCTCAAGAGCGCGACGTCTGGTTTGAAATCCCTTTTCCCGCGCCAAGGTGCATGCATGAAGTCGGCTCGCGTTCGACTTTGACCGGTCGAATACAGAGGCGCAATTGGGAATTCATCACAGGAATATCGGATTCAAGTGGGCTCTAGACTCGACACCTCGGCAGGGAGTTCAAGGTTAACTTCAGAGCCACAAGAGCCTTTGCTTTGAGACAAGCAGCCTGCCTCACCTGAGCCCGCTGCGTGCTGCCCGTCGTTCGCCGCTCGCCTGTGCCGGTTTTTTTTTCCCTCGCAACGGGAGTGAGTAACCTCGCTTCGACAAGGACCGTCTGCCGGCGTACGTTAAAGTGGGCTCGCGTGCGACGCACCCCGCCTCAATTCAAATCGTGTCGCCTTTCTTTCGCTTTCACCTGGGCGTCGGCTGAGAGACACGATCCCGTGTCTGGCTCTCCCTGTCCCTCTCTGTGTGGCCGCCTGCCCCCCACACAAGCCTAGTGCAGCACCAGTGCATGGCGGCCCTGCGCGCGAGACGCCTGAAAGAGCCTGTTTGCCTCGCGTGGCGAGTGGGGCTCCCTCTTGAGTTTCCCCTCGCCTTGGACCCAATCAGATGCCTTGATTGTTGTTGTGTCTCTGTGAACGACGTTTGCCACGCCAATGCATTGACACTAGATTTGCTGCAATCTGGTTGATGCGACCGCCAAGCGTCGCAAATCGGTCGTGTAGCACAGCCATCCCGTCGCGCAAGGTCCACGGCCAGCCACCGACGGCTCCTCGCATCTCCCGCCTTGTCCCTGTCTTTCCGCCACCCAACCTAACGGGACGCCGACGGCGACGAGACATCCACACGCCCCCGACCCGCAGCTCCTGCAGCCCCGCACCTTCTTGGTCTTCGCGCTTCCTTGGATTCGCTAAATTGGAGCTCCGCCGCACAGTTCTGATCTGGTCTGAACCCAGACTCTTGCCTCGTCCCTACAGCGTCCCAGCGAAAAACTAGGTGGAATCAGCGGAGTTCTGAACCCTGTCGAGGCTGGAAGCGCACGCCCTTTGCTCGCCCTGCCAAGCGTCCACTTGGCGTGCTGGCCGTTCTGCCGCACTCCCCCGACCCCAGAGCTGGTGGCCAGGCCCTCGCTCCCTTGCCTTCTGCTGCGAATCCAGGGCGACAGCTGGACAGCCGAACCGACCCCGCACGCCGAGAGAATATATACTTTGGACGACTGACTCCGTTCATGCTCGCCACCGCTTACCCTCGTCTGTCTTCATTCCCCACTATCAATCTACGGTCCGCGTCCCTGCCCCCGACGCCATCCTATCTTCGCGACCGCCGACTTCCGCCATTGTTCACCGATCGACTCGCTCAGACAAGGCATCCATATCCGCAAACAGCCCCTTCCCATCCTCCATCCGCCAAATGCAGGACCGCGAGTTCACCATGACGAAATCGCTTCTGACCGTCTTGGTCGGTCGCTCGTCACGCAACGATAATGCAGGCGCGGCACATTCCAAGGCCAAGGCCAAGGCCAGGGCCGCTGCTGTCGATGAGGAGTATACGTCCAAATCGGCGTACCGCCACCGTTTCGACGACAAGTCCGGACCACCACCACCGCGCGGCTCGGTCACGAGCGAAAAGCTCTCGTACCTCGATTGGCGCTTGAAGCGCATCAACACCGTGCGTCACAAGTCGGAGGGCACCGCACACTGCTGGATTGACGGGCGCGACACCATTGGCCGCACCTCGTTGGATGCGGATCGCCCACTGCCCGTGCCCGTCGCCGCCGCCGCCGCCGCCGCCACCGCACCACGCAAGGAGGAAGCTCGCGCGCCAGCAATGAAACAACTGTCAACCGCAGGCGTGGTGGCATCCAGCACACTGCCCGCAATCTATGCCGAGGAGAAGAACGCCGGACTCAAGGCGCTCGAGCATGCTTACGCCGGTGACAGCATGCTCGCCGACATGCCCCACCTTGCCAAGCGTGACACGGGCTCCGACTCCGAGACGTCGGGCGCATCCGATCAGCACCACATCTCGCTCGCTCCCGTGCAGCTTCACGCCACGGCAGACAAGGACGTCGGCGTCTACTTTAGCAAGCCGAGGAGGTCGCTCCTCGTGCGTGCTGGCTCGCGCTTTGGCATGAAGAAGTCCGCCGGCGCGCGAACAACAGATGCTTCCGAGCAAGATGTCGCAGACTCGAGGCCCATGTCACGAAACGGTCGCTCCTTCCCTCGCATCTGGAATCGCTGAGCTCAGCTGTCTTCCCCTCCCCCCGTCGTGGAACCCCTGTCCTCGCCAGCACTGGCGCGGTGATCATATTAGCATACCACATTTATCTTATACCCCACTCACTCGTCATGGAATGCTTAGGAAGCGCTTGTTTACGATTGCCCCGCCCGGATTGTTCGTTTGTACACTTTGCGCCCTCGATATCGAGTCGCCGACAATGTCCTTGCACGTGGAGCGCTCAACATCGTCTTCTTGACCCCAATCGTGCTCTGGCTTGTCCTGTGAGACGACAAGACGAGCGAGACCGTCTGCAGCGATTCGGGCTGAAAAGTCGTGACCGCATACAATTGCCTGCCACCAGCGCTTTCGGTCGGATCACATCGGGCTAGTGGACGGGCGAGCAAGCCCCGCAATCGTCCGCTGCATCGCAAGGTGTGGGATCGTCAGTCTGAACAAATTGATTCTTTTTTCCAATTCGACTTCACGAGTGCCGCTTTGGTGGCTTGAACAGAAGGTGCCCGCTCGAGCCGCGTTCCAAACATCTGTCGGCTCAACGTCATCTGGCAGATTTCGAGGCAGACGAGATCCAAATCCGCTCGAATGCGTCCGTTGCTTTCTCCGTTGCGAGAGGATGGCTGCAGGATTCCGCATCCGCATCCACCTTTTTTGATGGCCCGAACAGTGGGGTAGGCCCGAACGAAAAGCCTATCTCTGAGCCACAGATGGCCATCGTGGGAATTCGAGTCTGGTTCGGTCCACGCTGAATTTCAGGATGCCCGTCGATCCGTAGGGTCCTTCGCTTGTCGATCCGATCGCGCATCGCGGGGAGGCGGTGATGGGGAAGCAAGCAACGAGGTTGGCTCAGACATCGCACGCAGGCGTGCAAGCGAGCATCCATCCAGAGCTCCATCCCAACTCCTCTTCTTCTTCTTCCGGTCGGACTTTGACGCTTTCTGTTTGCTGTCTCTGTGCTTTTTGGCGTTGAGATAGGCGTTGTGTGCACCCGGTCGGCCTTCTTCGGGTCACCAACGCCCCAGCTCAATGTAGCCCAACCCGCTCGTTTCGGTGGTCGCGGCAAAGTGTGGAGAGCCGGGTGGAATTGTGTGGAGCAAGCGAGCTGCGGCGATCTGCAGTGCTGCGAGGTGCAACGACCGAAGCGAGGCGTTGGCGAAAGGGCGAAGTTGAAAGCGCCTAGCGAAGCGCGAGTCGAGGCCAGGCAGCGGGGCCAAGCGAGCTGACGTCCATTCCAATCTGAATGTGTCGCGACAATTGGCACCCGCGGCCCGCTTTGGCGCATTTCCGTTTTCGACATCCGCTCTCGAACGTCCGCTTTCGCCATTCCGCTTGGCAGCAGCAGCAGCACCGCACCGCACCGCACCGCACC